AATGCAGGACATAATTCCTTTTTTCGTTGGTGCACTGTTCCACAATATTTGCATTTAATTTTGTTGTCACGCCCCCCGTCACGCCTATCAAGTCCGATACGCCTGTCATCGCGTCTTCCGGTTCCTGTGCTTCCGGTTCCTGTGCTTCCGGTTTCGGTTTTGTTGTTTACAATGGCGTTGATTTCGCCCTCGTTTGCTTCGCTGTTCGCCTGGATTTTCTTGACTTGTTTCTTCATGGTCTCGCTACTGCGACAGATGTCGATGGCTTTTGTCAAGGTGAGTTTTCGATCTTGCAATAGCTTTTTTTGAGTTGCATTATCGTTGATTCCTATGACCAGGCGATCGCGTATCAAAGAATCTCGTAAACAATTACAGAAATTACAAGATTGTGCCAATGTTCGCAGTGCTGTTACGTATTGGTCGACTGTTTCGTTTTCATTCTTTTGTCTGCTGTTGAAAACGAATCTCTCATAGGTTTCGTTTGTTTCCCCTAAGCATAACTCTTTAAATTTGGTTACAACAATGTCAAATTTCGTGCGGTCTTCTTCCGAGGCAAAATCTAAGCCCTCAAAAATTTCCATTGCGTCCTCGCCGATGCACGAAAGGAACGTTGCTGTTTTGAATTCATCTTCAAATCGGTTAAGTCTTGCCACTATAGCATAGTTATCCCAAGATCGCTTGAATTTCTTCCAGTTTGTGGCAAGGTTTCCTTCAGTTTTTAATAGCTTAGGCATGGTCAAGCCCGCTGGCAATAATGGTTGACATGCCGAGGCTGTGTTCGGCGTGTTTTCTGCTTCGCTACCGTTCGCTTCTTCTGTCATTTTCAATATTGTGAGCTGGCTTCTTTTAAACTCCTGACACCATGTTATTTGCTTCTCACTTTCATTAACTTTTGATAGTTTTATTTCTTATAGTATAATTCGCATAATATAAACTCATAACATGTATATACTCTATCTCTAAAATCCCGTGTCCTACACCTATTTTCGCGCCCTTTTTCTTCGTTCCCAGTTTTCCCTGTCCGAGCAAATATAACTAAAATATTAATGTCAACAGTAAATGTCCAACAATAGTACGCCTGCAAATTACTGTCGGTCATTGGAGATTGTCCGGCCGCGCCAAATTTTACATTTTGTCCGATCAAAGCTTTTTATAACCAGACATGTGACCGATCGATTTAGGCTCCAATCTCAAAAAATTGTTTATTTAACACAATTTTTTTATTAATGAAACCAACAAGAAAGCAATATAGACAGCACTAGCTTCTCCACTATTAAGCCGTAAGATTTAATTATAAATCTACATCAACATTCGTATATAACATGGTAAAAATTAAAGTTATGTATAACCTGAACTACAGTATAATTTACTGATGCATTAGGACTGGTAGATATATACACAGATTTAGATGCATTGTACTGTGGACAAACATGACCAGGCAAAGACAAAAAAATACTTTATCCCTTGTCCGAGAAAAATTAGTGAATGTCCGACCAATTATTGGCTTGGCCTAGACATGTACATTTGTCTTTCCAAGTAAAATAATTATTTGCAGGCCTGTATAGAATTGAGTCCCAATTTCATTTTGTACCAATTAGCCATTCTGAAGTTGATGAGAGGACTGGGACGAGTGTTAAAAAGTGCCCAAATTTTGCCCAAATTAAGGAATGAACCAAAATTTTGACCACCTCAAAATTAGTAAGTACACAAAGTTTGAAGACATTTACATAAATGCCCTTGGAATAATAAGCTTTCGAAAATCGCGATATTTACTATGAAATGTACTGTAATTTTTGTTTTGGGGGACAAATGTCCCCAAAACAATCTTTTAATCAGTAATTTCACAATTTTCGAAAGCTTATTATTCGAAGGATATTCATGTAAACGTCTTCAAACTTTGTATACTTACTAATTTTGAGGTGGTCTAAAAATAGTGATTTGGTGCATTTCCAGAGGTGCATTTCTTAATTTGGGCACTTTTTAACACTCGTTCCCAGTTCACTCATCAACTTGGGAATGACTATATGATAAAACGTAAAATTCTTTGCTACTCTGCACAAAAAAGTTTGGATTTAAGATTTCGAGTTGTTGTAGCAGTTTGTTTGAAGGTATCTTTTACCTTGCAAAACTATAATTAATACAATATCTGAAATATATAAGAAAGTTTGCATATAATATGCATGCATTTTGAAAATAATTTATTTCATTCCAGGCTTACTATTTCAGTAAATTCAACTACAACATAGTCGGAGACTCGGGATTGAAATGAATGCAGAACGTTGTCATTTACAGGACGAAATCATTCATAAATATGCACTTGGAAACAGAATAGAGGTACAGAAACATTGTTTTAATTTAATAGTTTTAAATTTTTGCTGCCATTTTTGCTTGTACAAATTTTTGCTGCCGAAGGCAGCACACTATTCTTAACAGGAAGTATCGCGTTTACTTGTGTCCAGTCTCTTTGCCCGAGCTATGTATTGTCGAGGTCTCGATTTTGTGTCTGTCTGTCTGTCTGTCTGTCTGTCTGTCTGTCTGTCTGTCTGTCTGTCTGTCTGTCTGTCTGTCTGTCTGTCTGTCTGTCTGTCTGTCCGTATGTAAAGATGTCGTAATTCCGGGGAAATAATTAAGGCTTCAGGAAGTTTTTTTAAACGAGGGGGCGGTCAAACTTTACTTTGTCTCTGACTTTGTATTGCACAGGGATCAAGTTCTTCTCAAGTTCCCAAGGACAGTTATGAGCTTATTTTCATGATGCAAACACGGACAATATTTTCAATAATTCAGGTTTTATTTCTTTTTGGTATTACATGAAGGCATTTTATATATATAATATGTTTTATAGAACACTATGATTTCATGAATTTAGGTTCAGCATGAATTTATCATGCATTTCAGAATTTACCCTGCACTTAGTGGTCGTCTTTATAGTTAATATACAAGTAGTCAAAATCTACTTTTAGTTTATTTGTTTGTGTGGTGATTTCCAAAGGCGATAAGTGTCATGAGTTTATAGTGTTTATTCTACAGTTTATAGCAATGTGCTTCAGCCATTTCAGCACGTTTTAAAAACAAACGTGGAATGTTGTATCCCTATAGCAATCCAGTGTGGATTGTTGTCTGCAAGGGCGGATTTTCATTTTATAGAAGGAGGGGTGGCCAAACATTTTCTAGTGGGGGTGCAAGCAGCACCACTGAGCTTTGGCAGGAGTTAGGGTTAAAGGCTTTCACACAAAGTAGGAGGGGTGAAGTGAAATTTTGGTTGGGTTGAACACTTTATAACACCTCAGGGTGTTATACTCGGTACTAACCCCCCAGTATAAATCTGCCCATGGTTGTCTGCACATATTAACTTACCAGCAGTTACATGTAATAGCATGTCACCCGACTTTTCTACAATTAAGGTATGACGGTTTGTAAAATGTATCTCTGATATATGTCCATTGTCAGCATAATAAGGAGTAATCCTACCGGCCTGCTACATAATACATTCATATATTTACCTAGCTGTATCACTACATTTCAGGGTATATACTATATCTTTTCGATAATGCTCACAATTTCTTTCTTATAATATAGTTTTGAAGTTCTGACTCAGTACAATCTTAATCATTACAAATGAATGGTGCCATCTGAAGCTGATGTATTAAATTAAACAAAAATGACAGTTCTTCTGTGATAGGCGTAGTTTTGTATTATAGTATTTCTATACATGAAATTGTTATTAAATTTATGCAAAGTATAGTGCTTTATAGAGATTTCGAGGACTGATAAAACTGATAACCTCACATGTGAGATAATTTATGATAATCTCATATGTGAAAATTATCACTTTTCATGCAGTTATCGCTTTTCTGCAAAAAAATATATCGCTTTTCAAAGACTATCCTTTATATAGTAAACAGAAAAATACATGAATGCTTGGAAATACCAGATTTATTTCTTGTGTTCCGTGCACCAATGTATTATTCTCCATATAAATATATAATATTGTACAGTATTCAGTGGCAAGCTAGCCATAGCAACTCGTCATGCTATGCCCTCTCTGCTATGCCTATGCTGATAATCTTGCATCTATTTGAATGATACAAATCATTAAAAACTTGCATAGCTGATGACTTGTTGCTATGGCTAGCTTCAAAAGCAAGAAGTTAAAAGCATCATGGAGGTATTCATATAAAACCACAGGTGGCCAGGCTCTGTGGGGTATTTATTTATTTTTTAATTTCATTATATTTTGCTTTACAAATTTACTTTAAATTATAAAGTATAACTTACTTAGGTTCTTTATGTATTCTTTATGTATGTATTTGGGGGTGGTTTTAGTTTGACATTTAACAAATATAAAACATTTTCCGTGTTGATATACAGTTATATCAACACGAGTGGAATTGGGGAAACGAGAAATTGTATGGAAACACGACGCCCGAAGGGCGGAGTGTTTTCATACAATTTCGAGTTTTCCCAACTTCCACGAGTGTTGATATAACTACATATCAATACGGAAAAAATGTTTTATATTTTTTTTATAATATAGCAATGTCAAAAGCCCGAAGGATAAGAAAAATTTCCGTGTTTACAAGCGGCGGAAAATTTCCCGTGTTGACATTGAGTTATATCAACACGGCTCTTAGCCAATCAGCGTTCAGAATTTACAAATGCTATATTATAAAATGATATAACTAGAAGTTACTATCGCAAGGAAAGTGCTGCCTCATCCCCAAGGGATTAATGGCAGAATGCACAATTTGCTGAATACCCTTATATAATCCCGCTATTACGACGCACTAGTGGTCCGTAACATTCCAACTTTGCATTCAAGACGTGAACAACTGTGCTCGGCATTCTTTAAGAATAAAGTTGTCTACAATCCTTCACAAAAATTATGAGACTACCCATGTGAAAGTGTAATTTCCTCTCCCCTCCCCCCTACAGAGCAATGTTGCTCGTGACTGAGTTGAAATTGTGAAGCACAATGCTTATGCTTGCAATAACAGTCAACATTGTTTTGGAGGGGGAGCTCCTGATGGTAGGAATTTGCTGATTTTATAGATAAATATGCAAGTCTCAAAAGACAATATATTTTGTGAAGGATTGTAGTCCGCTATCAGGTCTGGTAAAGATCGCTGCAATGATCTACGTGCCCCAAATAAACTTTCACCAATCAAATGCACAACAAACCGCTTCAAAAACTCTTTTATTCCGTCGTCTGTCGAACGTTTTAATAATTCTTAGTACCTAGGCTTCAGACTCTTATCAAAGTTTAACCGTTTTTAGTCGTAGGTTACATATCCATAATTAACAGATCTGAGAATTTTTATAATAATTATTCGTATTTTACATGTAATAGTTAAGCATACAGTTATGTTTATGGATGTATTTCAACTGTTTAAGTTTGTAAAATCCAAGTTTTAATAATAATAATAATTCTAACATTATTCGCATGATGTTTTTATATCATTATATCAAACTAAAACCACCGCCAAATACATAAAGAATACATAAAGGAAACTAAGTAAGTTATACTTTAAAATTTAAAATTTAAAGTAAATTTTTAATGCAAAATATAATAAAATTAAAAAACAAATAAATACCCAGACAGAGCCTGGGCCACCTGTGGTTTTATATGACAGGGCTTGAAATAATGTTTCCAACGTTCCCGATCATGGTGATCAGCAGTCATGATTTTCTGCTGATCAGATGAAAATCTGGCCACAGGATACGTTCTGTTTATATGTTCTGTTTATATGTTTTGTGATAATGCTGTAGTATTGCATGGTGTTCATAACAACATTAACTTACCATGCTTTTGATCAAGATGATCGGCAACCTTGCTTCTCTGCAGATCAAAAGAAACTCCTGCCGACCATTAATCGTTGATCGGCCGTTATTTCGTGCCCTGATATGAATACCTTCAATGCTTATAACTTCTTGCTTTTGTATGTATAATTATAGTTCTGTCAGTGGTGAAGCTAGCCAAAGCAACAGGTCATGCTATGCAAGTTTTTAATGATTTGTATCATTCAAATAGATGCAGGTTTATCAGCATAGGCATATAGCATGACCAGTAGCCATGACTAGCTTGCCACTGAATACTGTACAATATCATATATTTATATATAGTACATAAACGATAATAATACTTGAATGAATCATTAGACATGTAGAATTTAATAACAATTTCATGTATAGAAATACTATAATACAAAACTACCTCTATCACAGAACAACTGACATTTTTTTTAATACATCAGTTTCAGATGACACCATTCATTTGTAATGATTAAGATTGTACTCAGTCAGAACTTCAAAACTATATAATAAGAAAGAAATTGTGAGCATTATCGAAAAATATAGTATATCTTAAACAGAAGTGACACAGCTAGGTTAAAATATGAATATATTATGTAAGCCGGTAGGATTATTTCATACAGTTTAATAATGCTGACAATGGGTATCTCAGAGATATATCTTTACAGACTGCCATACCTTGTACAAAAGTCGGTTGACATGCTATTACATGTAACTGCTGGTGAGTTAATATGTGCAGACAACCATGGGCAGATTTACTGGGGGGGGCTAGTTGAGGTTATAACCCCTCTCTAACCCCAAGGTGTTATAAAGTGTTCAACCCCACCAACCCGTAGCTTCACCCCTCTCACTTAGTGCTGCTTGCACCCCACAAGAAAATATTTTGCCACCCTCCTTTTATAAAATGAAAATCCGCCCTTGCAGACAACAATATCCACACAGGATTGCATGCTATACTATAGTACGTATAGGGATAACTTTATATTTAAATATATTAAGCCTGATCATTAAGCCCTGCTACTCAACATTCCACGTTTGTTAAAACCTGCTGAAAGCACATTGCTATAAACATGTAGAATAAACACTAGAATAAACACTATAATTAAACTATCGCCTTTAGACATCACCACACAAACAAATAAACTAAAAGTAGATTTTGACTACTTGTATAAAGGCGATCAGTGCAGGGACAGGCCGGACAGCGTAAATTCTGAAATTTATGATAAATTCATGCTGAATCTAAATTCATGAACGGCATAGTGTTCTAAATATAAATGCTTTCATGTATATATAATATTACCAAAAAGAAATAAAGCTATCCTTACCTGAATTGGGCTATTCCATTTAATATCCGTACACCCCCTGTCGAGGATACATGGTTTTCATGGTTATACCCCTGAAGAATTCCAAGCTCAAAACCTTTTACCCCTGAAGAATTCCAAAATTCCAAGCTCAAAATCCTTTACCCCTGAAGAATTCCAAGCTCAAAACCTTTTACCCCTGAAGAATTCCAAGATTCCAAGCTCAAAACCCTTTACCCCTGAAGAATTCCAAGCTCAAAACCCTTTACCCCTGAAGAATTCCAAGCTCAAAACCCTTTACCCCTGAAGAATTCCAAGCTCAAAACCTTTTACCCTTGAATAATTCCAAGCTGAAAACCCTTCAGCCCTGAAGAATTCCAAGCTCTGAAAAATTTCAAAGTCAAACCCCTTTACCCCTGAAGAATTCCAAGCTCAAAACCCTTCCCCCCTGAAGAATTACAAGCTCAAAACCCTTTACCCCTGAAGAATTCCAAACTCAAAACACTTTACCCCTGAAGAATTCCAAGCTCAAAACCCTTTACCCCTGAAGAATTCCAAGCTCAAAACCCTTTACCCCTGAAGAATTCCAGGGATCCTCGACAGGGGGGGTACGGATATTAAATGGAATAGCCCATTATTGAAAATATTGTCCATGTCAGTTTGCATCATGAAAATGTATTAAATAAGCCCGTCAGTGTTCTCACAATCAAATTTTCGAATTCCTTAGAAAAAGCTCGAAAATTCCTCAGATTTCCTTAAAATTCCTTAAATTGATAAAATTACCAGAAGGCCTGATCACACAGTTGCAAAAAGTGTTTTTTCCCTCCTTTTTTCTGTTTTTCAGTTTTTATAACCTTGTTTCTAAGCACTAAAAATTGAAAACATTTGATTGTTAGCGTAATGCCATAAAGAAAACATTCAACATGATGTATTTTTTATCGTTGTTGCATGAAGAGCGTAAAATATCTGCAGATTTCAGAAGAAACAGCATATACTGACATTTAATTTTTCAGAATTTTAATGAAAAGACCAGTGGCGGACACTTTACGAAATATTGGGAGAGGGGTCTCGTGCCGAAGGCACGGAAAAATTTTAAAATTTGAATCCCGGAAATGGCATTTGCAGCGTTCTGAGAACACGTTTTGTAAAAAACTAGGGTTTCAAAACACTGTTTTAAGTTTTGTTATAAATCACATGCCAAGCCATGTACAGAAACATATACTATTATATTATGATGACAATTACGTTATATGAGTGTGATTTGTGTTATTTGGTACTGGAACCAAATTGGTACTGGAACCAAATTGGTACTGGAACATGGCCCGAACATTTATGACATAGAGAACATACGAATATTTAACAATTATTCGCCGAAGGCGAGGTGATTATCGGTGAATAAAAACCGAGACGAAGTCGAGGTTTTTATTCACGATAATCACCGAGCCTGAGGTGAATAATTGTTTTAGTATAATTTCATAGGTGATTATTTGGAAAAAAATAAGAAAATACACATTTCTTTGTCATTTATTAAATTGACAAAAAGCCGTTGGCCGCCATTTTGAAAATCGCTTAGGTGATTATCGCGTAATAATCACCTCAACGGCAACCAATCAGCGTGGAGAATTTTCAATAATCACCTATGTAATTATACTAAATGTAATTATGTGCGTATAATGTTGCTACTTTCAAGTTTAAATCTCATTTGCATGGCGTGGTTATCCTCCGTCCAACGTTTTTAGTCCAGGATAAAATGTTTCGGAAATTGAGAGCACTGAAGTGAGAGCACTGAAGCCCGTACAGTGCATTTGTGCAAGACAAAAAAGTTTGACCGCCCCCCTCGTTTAAAAAAACTTCCTGAATCCTTAATTATTTCCCCGGAATTACGACATCTTTACCGACAGACAACAGACACAAAATCGAGATCTCGACAATACATAGCTCGGGCAAAGAGACTGGACACGAGTAAACGCGATACTTCATTTGGCGGGAAATTCAAATGCGCTATAACACATCGTCAAGAATAGGAGGCTGCCTTCGGCAGCAAAAACATCATAAGAGTAATGGCAAAGCGGGATCATATAAACAGGCAAATTGTGCATGCTGCCTTTGACCCCTTGGGGGTGAAGTAACTTCTAGTTTATAAATAATTTGGAATACCTATATATATGCATCGTGATTCGATATTCTAAACTTTCACGAGACGGCATCTCACTTGTCTTAGTATTGCATCTACCAATGTTAGGTGGGAGGCGGGGTCAAGGGCAAGATCTGACAAGTATAAATACGTCTCATGAGTGGGGAATTTGACGATTAGTATGTATATCGCATATCATGCTTTATCCTCAAATACTCCGTTTTAATTGATAGTCATAAATGATGTTTTTAAAGGACGAGTCAATGTGTAAAGTTCTGTTATGTTTCCCTCACATGTTTCGTTTTAATTAATTTTAATAGTAATAAACAGTCATGCAAACTATTCTGACAAATTCTTTACTTTATTATACCTTTTATCTTTATTCACATTACCGATCACAGTCACAATTGCTTAATTCTATTTATATGTCTTGGACATAATTTCCAGTGAAATTGTAAACAAAAATTAAAGAGTTTTAATGACTCACTACCACAGACTTAAATTGCTAAACAGTGACTGTAGTGATACAAAAAAAGACAAAGCTAAGTGTTTAATAATATAGTCACGGCATGAAATAGGACAGAATTTCCACAGAATACAATGAAAGATGGCGGCCATTTTGAAACTCCAAGTTTTTAAGGATGGTGGCATCCAAAATAAAAGTACTGAGCCAACCTTTTTAATAAACTCAGTAACTCAAGAATCAACAATGTTGAACGGCATTGTTATTCTGATGTTTCCACAAACTACGATATTGAGACTAATAGAACAAAACATAATAAAAAATGGACGCCATTTTGAAAAAAAATTGCCGCCATTTTGAATCTCAATTTTTTTACTGATGACATGGAAGAAAACTAGGGATCCAAGGATAGTGTGAAATTTCAAATTTAAAAAGACACTGCAAGAACTATATAGGGTCGCCGACAACCTAGAAAAGCTGATGGCTTACACTACAAAATAAACAGTTACCAAAGGCATTTCATCTCATTATTTATAGACTTGCTCCAAGTCTCTCTTTCATTGTCATATAGTATCGATCCACTATAGTGTACATTACATGACGTAGCACGGAGGGGCGGAGCGAGAAAGAGAGACCTGTCAACTTCGGAAAATCTCGGTTCAAAACTGAACCGAAAATGCAAGACTTGCTTTAATTGTTTTCCTTCAATTTCTTTATGTATTATTTACTATACTGAATTCATGTTATTTACATTGTGCTAGATCAATACATATAAATACTGACAGAAAACAATTAAAGCAAGTCTTGCATTTTCGGTTCAGTTTTGAACCGAGATTTTCCGAAGTTGACAAGTCTCTCTTTCTCGCTCCGCCCCTCCGTACTACGTCATGTAATGTACACTATAATGGATCGATACTATATGTCAATGAAAGAGAGACTTGGAGCAAGTCTACATTATGTATTGCTTTTAATGCGCTCGGGACACGAGTAGAGTGACGTTTGAAACAAGCCTAACACATCAGAAACATGCCTTGTGAAACTGATGCAATTTATCTATTTATTGTGATGCTACACGCGACAATTCGAAATTTAAATTGTTTCACCAACAACCAAGTTTTGCATATTCTAAATTTTCATTTGCATTTGCATTTGCAGCTGTCGCTAAAAGCAACCCTGCGAGGCTACTGCTATGCTAAATTTATCTAATAAACTATAATTGAAATAGCTGTATAGATATGTTATGAATAATAAGCACTACGTCGTTACATCATTAAAAGACGCATTTTATCCGTTCCGTATTTTATCAGCATATCCGTTCCGTGGATCCGCTCCATCCGCTTCCGCATTTTAACCTAATTGTGACATGTTTCACAATAACAAGTCTCATTGACCTTTGCAGTTTGACTTTTCCCAGTGTCACGTTGTGTCTATTTTCAGCTTTTCGCATGTGTTGAAAATGTCACATTAGACTTCAATAGCTTCACAGTTAAGCAGTGTTTAAAGCATTTTTGACAAGCTTTGATACAATTCTGTGTACAGAATACTACAGATTGATTCTCGTAAGATCTGGTAGAGTTATCGTTGCACTGAACACGAGTTTGCACCGTTGACAACGGCGTTGTGCTAGACAGTAAACAAACACAACGACAAGGTCCGTGACGGTACACGTTGGCTACATGTACCTCCTTGCTTTTTTCTTCTATTGCATAAAGCTTGTTGGCGAGCCAAGCGATTGGCGATAACACGTTGGTGATAACACATTGGCGATAACACACTGGCTATCTCCTCGTCTTTCTTATTTATTTACTGTAACAGGGCCGTAGCAACCGGGGGGGCTGGGGGGGGGCTGCAGCCCCCCCAATAATTTGCTAATAATCATTCTTTTTTCAAAATCATGCAAACTTTATCATTTAATCTGTGACAAACT